GGAATTCTGGGAGTTGAAGTCCACACATCTTAAAGTTGCCAAGGTTGAGAAACACTCCTCTGATCCATGAGCCACATTTGACTATCTGGTCTCCTTCTTTTAGGCCAGCATTCTGCTTCCAACAACAGCCAGACGAATCCCTCAGGAAATTCATAAGCAGCAGGGCATGATTGTGACTACTATCCCATAAAAAGCAAGTCTCCTTTCATACACAGCCTTGGACTGCTTCCAGAAGCATTATGGGTGTTGGAGGGTCACAACAGCTTTCAGATCAGTTAACTGGGTTTCTGCTCTTGTGTCTCTTCAGGGTGGATCCCGAGATTTGGAGCCAGAAGTGTCCCTGACAGCCTTTGTAGTAATTGCTATGCACGAGTCTAAAAAGATCTGTCAGATTCATGTATCGGTGAGTAGAATCCGTCCTCAGGTTGCAGCAGAGCCAAAACATCTTCCTTGCAAAATATTTTCATGTGAGGGTCTGAGCCACTAATCTTCTGACTTCTCAGCTTTCCTGCTATATCTCTTTTTCCTCCTCTCCCCCTTACTCACAAATATGGCACACTGAGGCCACCCCCATTTCTGCACTGCAGTTCTTCAAAAGCAGTTTGAAGCTCACATGATCTTCTATCAAGCACAAAACACCGAGAACAGCAAAGAACATGAGCCTCTGTTTCCTCCAGCTGACCAGTAGCAGAATGCAAAAAATAGCATTCTGAGCTGCATGGATCCTGGAGCAACAAAAACCTTGCCCCATTCCGTGCCAAAGGGAGAGGAGATGAATTGGTAGACCATCCTCTCCCCAGGGTTTCAGTACATGTCCTTTTGTCACCGTTTGCAAAACAAATCTGAGTAGTTGCAACAAAGAGAAATTACCCAGATGCAAAGGCAACATTCTTTCTGTTTCTGTTTAAAAACCATTGTGAACTGGGAATCTGGAAGGATAACATATTAGCATAACTGCAACTCTGGTTATTTGTTGCTGTGGCGGCTTGAGTAGGAGAATGCAAGTAGAATTGATCCAGGGTATTTTGGCTGTTAATAGATCCTTACAACTCTTCCTGTGTACACAGTAAATCAGGCAAAGCGAGCAGGAATTAGACCTTTGATTTGTTTCTCCTTTCTCCGTAGCAGGTGACTGTCAGGTTGCTGCTTGGATTTTTTTTTTCTTCAGCTGATTACTCGAAACAATATTTCCCCAGAGAAATGTGGCAAGCTACACCCGGGAAAATCACGGCAACCTGCTTTAGTGAGAGTGCCCTGAATGGGAAACCTGTACCATACCTGGGCTGCATAAGTGCAGAAATCTCTAGATCAGGGGTTCCCAACCTGGGATGCCTGCACCCCCAGGGGGTGCAAGATGGAATTTCAGGGGGTGTGACATTTTATGCACTGAGTTAAAAACTTTTTTTTTAAGTTCAATTCGTTACACCACAGTACTGTAGTG